TTTATTTTCTATCTATCTGTCTCAATTCTAATACTCTTATCAAAATTCAAAATGCATTTTTACAATCCACATCAAAACCTCAAAGCAACCTTGATAAACTAAGCATTTTATAAGACATGATTTTGTTGTAATTATGTCACGCGCTGGTGGGAAGTGAAGATGCGTAATAAATCAGCTGCTGTCTATCATGTTAATTAGCGTCGCGCAAGCGCGGAATTTCGCTTGTAAACTTCAGATCACATTTTATTTGGTTTGTGTCGTATTTTCTCGGTGGAAAAACAATGTCCCCTCCAGTTACGCGAGTAAGCAGTGTTTATTCAGTGATAGGAGAGTTATTGTACATGCAGGTGGCTCATGTGTGTTGCACTTGTTGGCGCAGGCGAGCTCCAGACTGGCGTTGGCTCGGCGGAAGGCGGCGGAGCCGGAGCCGGAGCCGGTGCCGGAGCCGGTGCCGGTGCCGGTGCCGGTGCCGTATTCACTGCGTTCCAGAGCGCCGTTAGGAAACGCGTCCAATGTGATCGGTGTTCACCGAGCTGCAGATGAGCCGAAGGTAACCTGAGCTGTCCTGATGACTGCCAAACTCTTTCTTTCTGCTGCATGTGTGAACAGTGCTGGGGAGGGTACTTTGGAAATGTAATAAGCTACGGATTACAAGATACCCTACTTAAAATGTAACAAGTAGTGTAACCAGTGTTTTGGGTAACGCATTACAAGTAACGTGAGTTACGTAATCGGATTACTTTTAAGTAACTAGTAAAGTAACGCATTACTTTTTAATTTAGAAGGAAACATTAGTTACTTTTTCAAATAAGTAACGCAGTTTCTTTGTTTCCCGTGTATTGACTGACAGCTCTGGTGTTGAGAGAAGTGCAGAGGCACGTGCTCAGATTTTTGAGCCAAGTGGATTTTGAATGTAATTTCCAAAAGTCAAAAAATAGCCAAATCATATTTTTTTGTTATAACACCGGTGTGATTGCAGGTTCAGTGCAGCACATCATCAGCTGCTAAATTCAAATCTGCATTGCTGGCTGGCGCTGAGCCATTATAACCAATCACACACGACCCTGTTGAGCTTATGAATGCAATGACCAATCAGAGGCGTTCAGATGAGTCATGCGCGCTCTGACTGCATTCTGCTCTCTGGCGAATTCTCTCATCAGAAGCAACAAACTGCAGAAACCTTCATCACTTGAATTAAGATTACAAAATAATGTAATTTTAATAACGCTTGTAATTTTAAAGCACAGCCACCACAAAGTCAGGCTTTAGCACGTGTTTTTACTTTGAGATTGTTCTGAGGTTAAATGCAGATTTAAAATCATAAGATATAGTTTAATAGTTACGAATACTGTTTTTGAAATCAAATCCTTGCACAGCTGTGACGAGAAACACTGGCATCTAACAATGCTTTGGAAACAAGTTAATCTTAAAAAAATGAAGGATTTACATCTCCCCAAATAGGAATGTCCTATTCTGCGTGTAAACTCCTGAAACAGTGGTGTTAGATTTTAGAGCAATTTGGGATGAATTTTACTGTAATTTAATTACACGTTTTTTCTCTGTAACAGATTGCAGTTACATTTAATTAAATGATGTAATTGTTACATGTAGCTAGTTACTCCCCAACACTGGCTGTGAATAACATTTTCTTCATTAGAGACACAAAGCTGCACGTGTAAAGAAGGACAATGCGAAAACCAAGCATGCAACAGCCAAACCTCCTTCAGCAGAGAACCGGAGCGTCTCTGAGGTGTGTGACACGGTCAAGCTGAGAAATATTCCATATGAGCTAGACATATACATAAATTGAGGCATTATTGTGTTTTTGTATGCTATTATTTGCTCTATTAAATCCATTATTGCAAGGTCCTCGTGTGTGTCAGTCTTTTTCATTTTGTTGTTCTCGGCAGCCTGTTCCACACACTGATGTCTGTCAGGACTCTGAGCATCTTCAGAAACGGGCTGATGCTCCACAGGCTTTCTCCTGCCTGTTGCTCAACATCCCAGATGTGGATGCTGCAGACGCTGGTGATGCTCAGATGTGCAGTGAATATGTGTGCGACATCTACGCTTATTTACAACAGCTCGAGGTGAAGAGACCACAAAGAGTTCAAGTTTTTCCCGTGCAGTTACAATGAATTGGGGTTGAAGCTTGAGAAACTTGGTAAAGCAGCACAACTGTCATGCATGCAGTCCAGATGACTTGTACTACTTTGCATTAAAGGAATAGTTCACCCAAACATGAAAACGTGCTCACCCTAAGTCCATCCAAGATTAGGATGAGTTATAGATGAGATGTAGATCAGCAATGGATGCTCTGCAGTGAATGGGTGCCGTCAGAATGAGAGCCCAAACAGCTGATAAAAACATCACAGTAATCCACAGCACTCCAGTCCATCAGTGAACATCTGGAGAAGACAAAAGCTGAGACCCATCCAGCATTAAGATGGTTTTAACGGGGGGAAAAAAATGGCCTGGGGTGAATCGGGAGAAAATTTTGCACAGATCAAGCAGGGTTTACAAGCCAAAAAGGTTGGTGTTTGTTTACTAGTCTTTCTTGAATGCATGCTTCTCTAGGTTGCGATGGCCATCAGGCCGTGTTATCTGGAAGGTCAGGAGGTGAGCGGAGACATGCGAGCGGTCACCATCGACTGGCTCATGCAGGTGCAGCGAGAGTTCAAACTGCGGCAGGAGACCCTCCTCATGACCGTCAGCATCATCGACAGCTTCCTTCAGGTTTGCGATGCTCAATTCTACTCTTAAATATGTCAGTAATGGTGATGACTTCTCATATTGCTCTTCAGAGCCCTGAAGCACTGCTCAGTGTGTCAGTCCACTAATGAGGTCTGATATTTGTAGATTTGCTTGGACTCTAATGCATTCAGTTGCATCTGCATGTTTTTAAAGAATAACCCGGTGCCCAAGAAGTATTTGCAGCTGGTGTGTGTGACTGCAATGCTGTTGGCATCAAAGTACGAGGAGATTTACCCGCCCACAGTGGGAGACTTTGTGTTCGTGTCGGATGGTGCATACAGCTGTGGAGACATTCGGAGAATGGAGAGAATCATCTTAAAGCGCTTAAACTACAGCCTTGGCCGACCTTTTCCTACTCTCTTCCTACAGAGGGCCTGCAAGGTTGGACAGGTGAGTTATACACTACTGCTCAAAGGTTTGGGGTTAGTAAGACGTTCTTAATGTCTCTTCTGCTCTCAAAACCTGAATTTATTTGGCCAAAATTACAGTAATATTGTGAAAGATTATTAGTTTAAAATAGCTGTTTTCTATGTGAATATGTGTTAAACTGTAATGTATTTCTGTGATGTGCAGCTGTATTTTCAGCATCATTCCTCCAGTCTTCAGTGTCACATGACCTTCAGAAATCAGTATAATCATTAATAAATAATGACCCTAAAAGCAATATTTCACCCAAAAATGAAAATTTGCTGTTAATTTCCTCACCCTCAGGCCATCAAAGATGTGGATGACCTTTTCTTTTTTCTTCAGTAGAACCATAAAGAAGATTTTTAGCTCAAACTGTGGTCCTTGGCGGTACTTTAAGAGTAAAAAAAAAGCATATCAGGCAACACTACATTAACCCCTATGGCTCCTGATGATATATATAGCGGTCTTATGAAGCAAAACAATCAGTCTGTGCAGTAAACTGAACTTGTAATCCTCTTGCAAACAGGGAATCTGATTATTTTCCATGAACTGGTTCTTTCAGACAGTTTGTTTCAATGAACTGCCCAATATTTTTATGTAAGCAGTGATGCATTTTATTTTTTCAGGATTCACAGATGAACAGAAAGTTCAAAAGAACAGCATTTATTTGAAATGGAAATCCAACAAAGAGTGTTTACTGCATGCCGGGGTTTGATTGGGAAATGCAGCAGGATTTGTAAGCGTTTTCATTTCTCATTTTAAAAGACATTGCTTTTCACGTTTCTGAAGCAAGGACTTTGAATGTATTCGAACAGACTGATGCGCACTCATTTGGATTGGGTTTGTTTTTGTAAAGGCATGCAGGTTTTGTCATGCAAAAGGATGTTTCAGCTGCTGTCCAGGTGTTCATTTGCACATCTGACAGACTGCTGGCACACAGTGAGAATCTCTTACAGGTGTCTTAAATGTCTACTGACCTGAAGAATGAACTCTGGAATGTTTTATTCACCAACACTCTTCAAGATTCAAGGTTTTTATCTTATGCCACATTAGAATATTTTAATGTTTTCTGCCTCTTTCGTTGCAAATGCCTGTAACCCAGATTTCAGCTGTTTTTAACTCGTGTTCTGGTCACTTTGACCCGGAGAGTGTTTTCTGCTTCCAGAAAATGCTAGTTGATGATATCGCATTGGAGTAAACCTACTGACTTTGCTCACACAGTATATCAAAACTTTGAGGCATTTCCAGACAAAAAAGACCGGCCTACAAAACATAGCCTGTAAATCTCCTCTAATGCTTTATTATCTTTTAATCTTGGATTTGGTCTCTTTATCAGCGTGTTTTCTTTCAATTAGCACAGGTTTTGATTGATCGCAGGCCTCATTGATCTGAGCATTTGCAGCAGTTTTTGAGTGAATATTGATATAATTATCCACAATTTTTTTTTCCCACTCAAAAGCTGAAATGCATGAGCTCAGATCAATGAGACCCACGATCAATCAAAACCTGTGCTAACTGAAAGACAATTTGATAAAGAGATTAAATCCAATGTTTGCTGATATAGCATAATGAGAGATTGACAAGTCATTTTTGACCGGGAATGTTTAAGAACCTATAATGCAGCATACAGAATGAATTGTTGAACACGGGTTGCTGCAGTGCAAAGAACTTTAGGTAAAAAATAGGGTGAAGTCAGCAAAATGTAATGAATACAGACAGCCAAGTCATCAGACAGGCTGTGAGAAATGCGCAATAATAGCACAACAAATACAACACCAGAAATCAGTGCGTGTTTCCATTTTTAAGAAAAATGTTTTTGATTTTTTTTTTTTTTTTTGAATGCCAAAACACCACCCACAGCACTATCCTGAGCATCTGTTTGTCACTGCAAAGTTTTCCGATTTTCCGATTAACCCTCTGTGCTGCAGAGTTGCCATATGGCAACAATTAATTTCTACTCATTTCCTTGTTGTTCTGGGAAAAAATACAATATTGCACTATGGGAATTAAAAGTGCAGGCCTTAAAGGGATAGTTCACCCAAAAATGAAAATGTGATGTTTATCTGCTTACCCCCGGGGCATCCAAGATGTAGGTGACTTTGTTTCTTCAGTAGAACACATTTGATGATTTTTAACTCCAGCCGTTGCAGTCTGTCAGTCGTGTAATGCATGGCAATGGTAACAAAATCTATGAGCGTAAAAAAACATGCACAGACAAATCCAAATTAAACCCTGTGCCTCGTGACGACACGTTGATGTCCTAAGACACGAAACGATCGGTTTGTGCCAGAAACC